AAATAAATAGAATAAATAGTCAGATTTGGCTTATAGCAACTCTAACACCGTTTTCAAGGGAAATGAGATATTTCAAGACACCCCTAGTGAGTTTCCATGGCTGAGTAGGGATTTGAATCCATGCATCCTGAGACCTATCCACTACACCACATTTTAAAAATGTCTTACAATGTTTAAAATGTCTTTAAAATATCTTACAGTTTTACAAAGCCATAAAATAAAAATAAAGAGATGCTAACCAGAAGAAGAATTCAGGAGAAATACTACTATGTTCTGTTCTTACATTACCTGCTACATTGCTGAGTTATAAAACCACTGCAGTATAGAAACTACTGGATAAGTCACCTGCTCACATGTAAACATAAAGTTGCAGCCATAACAATAGATCATATATTTATTTCTCATAGTATAAACAATTTTTCCAGGGCTTTGTCTTTTACACTGAAGAATACACAGTAAGGTTTTTTTGCTTCCCAAATTTTTCAAAATGTACGTTATGACTGGTTTTTTTAATAGGCCACACAATAATACTTAGAAGCAGCATACCGTGAAAGTGAAAAGAATGGAGATTCTTTGTTTCAATACGATTATCTCATTTTCCCACCAAACGAGTTTTAGTTACACGAGTCCCCTGTCAATGACAAGCTGCTACCACAGACAGTGACCAAGCGCTAAAAGGCGCTAGCCAAGGGCTCTGGGTGCTGCAAACCAAATCAGAGACGTCTGAAGGCATGTTGACCGTTGAGATTAAAAAAAAAAAAGTTGGCGACCACCCATCGCTGCAAACGAGAGAAAAACGGGGAGGATGATAAAAGACACGGAGATCAGGCCTTGACAGGGACGCCTCCAAGGCTTCGCCTCAGGCGGGCACGCAGTTCCAGGGGTTCCTGTCACCCACTCCGACCTCAGTCCCCCTCCAGAGAGAGAGAGAAAAGCAGCCGCCTCCCTTCAGGCACAGCCCCGGGTTGCCCTGAAAACGGCCGAGGGGGGGAGAGCGGGTCAAAAGGAAAGCGGCATCCAAGCCTGACACTCTCAGCTCGGCCTTCCAACCTGCCTGACGGAGCCTTCCTCCCCCCCTTTCAGAGCCTCTTACCGGCCTCCGGGGGCGGCCCCACGCCCGCCTCGTCCTCTTGGAGCCGCGGAGCCGCTAACGCTTTTGTCGCTTTGGGCTGCGATGGGGTGGAGGCCGCCATCTTGGGTCCGGCACATGCGGGGCCGCAGCCAGGCGGGACGGCGGAGCGCCGAAACTCCCGCTGAGTTTGACTAGGTGAAGCAATCGACCACCGAGCCACCCTTGGAGAAGCCGGCCCGGACGAAGCAGAAGAAATTCAGAGACCCGGCGCGACGCAAGGAGCACAAAACGAGTACAGTCACTCATCCAGACAAAACGACTCCAGTACCAAATTGCCGATGACCAGCGCGCGCATATAATTCCGGAACCTCCGACCGTAACGCTGTGCAGCAGACTAGACCAGTAGAATGCCTAATGTCCTGAACACTGCTTCAGCATCTGTATCTGGCAGCGTTGCAAGAGCCTCGAGAGATCTGGGTAACAGAGGACCGCTGGCAGAGAGGTGGAGCAGGTTGATCTACTCGCAGAGCAGGTGTAAAAAGACTGAGATTTTCTGGTATCTTAGAAAACGTGTTAGGTAACAATTGCTTCCTTTGCGTTTCAGTTATGAATAGATGGTAAATTTAATCATAATATTAGCAGCTGCCTAGATTTTAATTCCCTTAGCAACAGTCACAACCTA